GGGTGTAATATTCGAGGAGAAATTGGCTTTCAAAAACATCAAAATTTCTGTGTGGCAAAAGCGCTAATGAGCTCATACATTCTTTTTAAAATTTTGAGCTTTTAAACCCTCGTCGCATCAAAAGTATTCAATACATCGCCCTCAAATTCCTTGGGACAGTTAATCGTGCTGTGCCCTTTCAATATTCAGTATCAATCTCTTTGTAGCTCCATCAGAAACTGTATCGCTTATGGTAATGAGGCAAACATTGTAAACAAAGATTCTCCTATAGACAAATGTTACTTTGATGTAATTCTGTTTATTACATTGTTTAAGGTGGTTCTGGAGGTAGTTCTAATTTATTCAACTGAACGATATCGAACAGATTTCCTTGGCAATGCCTTCGTTATCAGTTTTTCCTGAGAGGAATTTTACAAAATATGTTATTTCGTAATTTTCGCACCTATGGAGCTAAAGGATTTAAATCAACATCAGCTTAAAACACTCTATGATGATAGTGTTTCTAAATCTTGTTGTTTTTCGATTTAGAGACGATTATCTTTTTGTTTACTCATCTCTAGCTGGCAAGTCTTGGATTAAATTTCTCGTCAAAACATAAACACAAAGTTTGTAGGTCACGAGGATGATAACGGTGGGAAAATGCTGCTGCAATTAATGAACAAATTCTCCCATCTGGTACCATGAGAATTGTTAGGGCCAAGTGAGGAGATTTTCTACGTTGAAATCAGAAAGTTTCTGTTTGCATGCAAAGCATAGGCGGAGATAACGCTGCTACAAGCTTTTTAGCACTGCCAGTTAAGCTCAACATATTTTTTCGATTTGGCTGCAAGCAAGAGCTCAGATCTCTTTTGCAAATATTTTGTCTGAAGCATTTAAGAAGGCTAGCCTGTCACAACCAGTTTCGCTCTTTAAAACCGGTTAATCTAAGAGTTTTAAAATCGATGATGCTCATTGCACGTGCATAAGCGGATTTTAGGAAAGGTTCCAAAGTGCAAAGTCGGTTTGAACAAAGACGCATAAGACGAAAATAAACACAAAGTAGACTTGCGCCTAGACTGTTCTGCAAACCTTGAAAAGACTTTCAGCAGCAGTTGTTACCAGGTATACTGTGAATACGTGATAAAACGGCAAACTTTGCACACTAACTGGTGGACTTCCATAAGTGCCCAAGTTCATGAGAGAAAAAAATTCCACATGAAAGTACTGGCTAAAAGCTTTCGATTGAGTGGTCACATACTAGGGTTTCATACAAAGATGTAAGAATTAGACTTACGTAAGATTTCAGTCTTGGAGTCAGGGGTTAATTAACGAAAGTTGGCACTGTCATGCTAATCAGACCACGAAATTTTAATTATAACAGCTGGCCTGACATCCCATTAAAACTTTTTTTCCCCTCAAATCGTGTTGGAAAACACGTAGTTTTGTGCGAAATAAAACAGATTGCTGTCGAATATTTGCATGGTATATTTTCATTTGATTGTCGAAAAGTAATTTGGTTTTTCGTCACTGCGCTACACGATTGGCTTAAAAACCTCGCGCCACTTTTTCGTCCAATCAGAAGTAAAGCTAAACCCAATCATGACTCGTTTGCATGCAGTTTCCTGCCCTTCACGTCCTTTGCGTGTAATTACTTCGAGCTTTGATTGGTTCACATTACTGTCTGTGCCCTTTGTGATTGGCTAGAGCGATTACTTTCGTGTTACGACACAATTGAAAACCGCTCTATTCCTCTAATAACACGAACTTCAAGCTATGCATGCCGCGCGCACTGCACGTCGAAAGTTCAAGCATTGTGCTTATCCAACATGATTTTAAAAGCTGAAAAGTTGAACACTTTACCCTCAAAGTGCCTAGTATCTACACCCTGGCGAATGATCAAGAGGAAAATTGTTTAATTGGGCTTACCTGGACGAGTTCAGTGAGAGTTATAGCAGCATCCATTAAGACGGAGTTTCAAAACAAACCGGGACAAGGGTAAATGGAATTGTGCTGGTTTTCTCAAGTTTACTCTGAGATTTATCAATTACTTTAATAGCTCAGTTCATTTAAAACTTAATATTTGTCTTTGTATGTAGTTCACAAAAGCAAAAGCTGAAGTCCTTTTCGCATTGAAGAAAACTTCTTGGCATCGAGGAAACAAAGTAATATTTAACTAAGGTAGACTCAATTACTCATCAAAGAATACAGTAAGCACAACCCAGTGAAGAAACAAGGGTAGACATCAATGGAGGAGCCAGTTAGACCCCGTCCGCTCTACGTTGGAGAAATCTGAAAACGCAGCTTTATTTCTACGGTTAGGCCTACCGTCCACACTAATCCGTCACCAAAACGGAGCTTTTCGAAAACACTCTTCAAAATGGAGGAATTTGAAAACGCTGGCTTTTTGTTTTAGTGCGGACGGAAAACGTTTTGAATACACGATGGCGTCACCATAATCACGTGATTTCCCTGGCTTTGTATTCCTCAAACTCAAATCCAAAATGATCGCTGATTGTTGCGTTTTCAAACTTCTCCGGCGTAGTGGGGAGGGAAAATCATTGATGCGTTTTCAGAGTGAAAACAACGTTTTCAAATTTCTCCGGCGCCGCCGCTGACGAACTTGAAAAATTCATTTTCGGAATTTTTTCGAGGTGACGTAATTACAGTCTCTGTGCTTTGTCTTCTTCATTTTACAACAACACCGATGAAAAGTTTTATTTTACTTTTTTTTTTCATTCCATGGTTTAATTAGTTACAGATAGTAAAAAGGAACTGAGAAGAAATTAAGATAAGCACAGGCTGTCAGCCGAAAGATAACCTTATTATATAGAAGAGTAAATGAAATGTTACCAGAACAGCAAACGGATACAACCTTGAGATTCCTAGGGTTCTTGTTCTTTTTCCTCTCTTATTTTTACACACCGACATCAATATACCAGCATATTACACATCAACAAATAGGCAAACAAAAATAAGGTCGCTGATCACCTTAAACAGCCAGTTCTTAGATCTTAATAGTACTCGGTACGTTTTGTCGTGATTTCTGTTGAATCTCAGTTTCTTGAAACGACACACCCCCTGAACTGTTTACTTTAGTATTGAAGTTCTCAGTAGTCGTACACTTGTGGCAGTTTCTCGCAAACCAACTCCAGCTAACGAACAGTTCAAACAAGATTTGTAATTCGGCGAAGAAATTCCCCACTCAGTCAAACAGCTATCTACCATACGTTACTTGATAACGGCGATTATCTGAATGCATGAAACTAAGCATTTCAGCTTATTGCCAGTGTAGCAAAATGCATCAAACTACTGCTCTGCTTTCTACTCTCGAGATCAAAGGATCAACCTTAAAAATAGTTGCTGGGAAGCATTCAATTATCGGATTATACTAATTGAATTGCAACTGTGCAGTTATCAGTTGAAAACGAGAAACATCACGGGGAGGGAGAGCTGGTGTCCTTTTCATGAAAAAAAGTAATAATTTAATTAAAAGTTCTATTTTTTCCTTCTGTTTATCATTGTGAGAAGAGGATTCTGTTTAAACACAAGTTACACTGATATAAATAGTCCTTAAGTTTTAGAATAAGTTATTTTTGGTGACTTTATTAAGCGTTTTTTTGACACGCTTGTTGAACTTCATGTAAAGTCAAAGGACTCTGTTTACCTGTCCTGGAAAATGCGAAATATTCTGTGACTGTCGCCACCTAAGAACTTATGAAATAAGTCTTTATTTGCCTTGCATTCCTTACAACTGTTTACATACTAGTGTTTGTTGTTTGAACCAAATTGGCTAGGAAATATCCGTGGAACATTGTGGAAAATACGATGGCCTTCGTGAAAACTCGTGCAACCGACATGGAACTATCGTGAGCCATCGAAGGACTTCTTGAAACCGTCGTAAAACATCGTGGAAAATAGGGTAGTCCTCGTGAAAACTCGCGCAACCTTTGTAAACACCCTGTAGTCTCGTGAAAACTCGTGCAACCGTCGTGGTCATCGGGGATTCAGTGCTCTAGATTCCAAGTGGCTTCTTCACCGAATGGTATCCTTATCAAACACGAACGAACATTTTTGTGTAGCTAAGAGCAGACCCCTAGACTAGCAAAGTACTCCTTCAAAGGTCTTCAAGCCCGTTTCGAGGACTGAGCCAAGAGGAGCTTTCCCGAAAACCAATATTACCAAAATGAAATTTATTCCTAAACCCATTCTTATCACATTAAGCCAAAAAGTTCAAGGATTCAAGTGGAATAGAGAATGAAACGGAAATTATTAGCATGCTTACAGGGAGCAAACCTGTCCGAGAGGTTGAAATAGTTATGTGGAGTGTAACTATTTAGCTCTTGGGCCAATTTATCAGCTTAAACAATCTCAAATTGCATTTCGCGAAATGTTGAAAACAAACCGTATCGCATAAAGGTACTACTCGATAGGTTTCATTTGAATAGTAAAACTTCAAAGTGGAACTGATTCACAGACTTAAAAAAAGTTGGAACGACAAGGTTTGATAACACTGTAGGTTTGAGTGTAACAGAAAACTGGAGAACTGGCATCTAGTAAACAGAAATGTTTATCAAGATTACGAAAGAAGGTCAAACTCGGTATTACTAGGAGGTTACAGGTTGAATATCGAAAAAGTTGGAACATTTTCAGTTCACTAAATTTCGCTATGGTATAGTATCTTAGACGAGGGTCTCATTTTTCAATCGAACCGTATAAATGCCAGGAACAAGTCTTAAATTTAGCAATCTTAAAATTCTCCCACGTTTTCAGAATTTCAGCTAGACTGCCTTCTTTCCGTATTCAATCAGAGTAGATTTCTTATTTGCCAAGGTGAAGTGAAGAGTTGGCGGAACTGTCATATCTATAACGCTGTTCATATTGAACGAAACACCTTATTCATGTAGTCATTTTATACTCTGACGAAGGCAGACATAACGTTGCTGAAAATTTAATTAATTTTACATCATTTTGTAGCTTTTTTTTAGGTCAAATCCAGCATTTTTTAAGGATTTAAACACCTTCCTCTTCTCTTCTATGTTTGATAACCAAACACTTCACCGGTCGTGTTAATGTAAGGAATGTTGGTTTTAACTTTTTTTGCCATAATCTTCTCAAAATCAAGGTTAACCTTTGCATATTGTTTAGACAAATTGCCTTTTATGTATTCCCGACAGTTTCCTTCAGTCGTGCACGTGAAGTACAAACGTTGAGTAGGGGTCGTTAATGGCGTTTTTGTGGTCCTTGGTTTTCTTTCGTTCTCTGAGTACAAGTGCACACAATTGGTGGTTTTTGAAAAAGGCTAAGAGTATACTACAGCAACGACAGCAACTAGCTTTACTTACCATAAAGACATACAGAGTAGCAAAAGCCTTTGTAAACTAAAACTAAAACTGTAATGATTATCGTGAACAAATAATAAGGTTATGATATAGCAATCGAGTTACATCGGTTTGATTTGAAGGAAGGATATTGCGTTGACAAAATGTGCTATCAAAATTAAAGGATCTCTGTCTTATCCATTTATTCATTTGTTCAAAACATGCTTGACTGGCGTACCTAAGATGTTTTCATGCAACATTGGCTAAATAATGAGACAACGAATCGATTACGAGTGTTTGTCTGGACATAGGAGAGCTGCAGATATTGTACTCACTTTCGGACTTTGTAACGCGGCCCGAACATTCCAAAGATTTGACACATTTTCAAATACTTTGATGCTACCCTTACAATAATCCACTAAAATTAATGCCATTCTGGAAGCCACTTTCCAGGATTAAAAACTCACGACCATGAAAGCTGTCTAGAAATTCTGACGTGACGATCAGTCAAGTAGAAGTTAAATGCCGGCGTACTATTTTGGTAATGAGCATATTTTTTTGAGATCCTACTTGATTGGTGGCAATTAGACGTCTTCAACTACTAAACCAATTGGGACAGCCGGCCTAATATAACCGAGATTAATGTGTTTTTCGCGTGTCCGTTGGAAATTAAGCCTTTTAAGGAACTGTTTGTTAAGTTCAAAAGTATCAGATTCCGAGCTCTTAAACTCGAGGGGGTGTGCCCATTTGGAACAGAATTGATAGCATTGGCAGTTTCCAAGGCTGTGGGTTAAAGAGTGATTTAGTTTGTACTCAGAAATCTTCCGGTCACGTCATTTCAACAGGGCAGAAATTCGTTTTAGAGTAAGTTTATTCAAATGTCCTTTGTGTACCTAGTTTAATGATTTGACAATAGCGTGTTTTCATTCTTTGAATGATCGAATTGAAAACGTCACAGTAGATAGATGTGTCGCTTAAAGACAGTAGAAATTAAGATAAGGCGAAAACAGCATGTGGGAGTCACTTAACTCTCCATGTTTTAATTTTATGCATTCAACATCGCAACTGCACCTAAATAGATTAACTATAGCAATGGCTGTGCAAAATACGATTTAACTCACTAGTTTAGTTTCCCATCCACAGAGTTGAATATTTAAGAACAAAGCATAGCTGAGCTAACAAACAGTATCAGATGAAAGTTTTGCTCAATAGCATTTGAATAGTTATACACTAGGGCTTCATGCACAGACTTAAAATTAGAACCACTTTGTACAACATTAAAAGTACCACATGAAAGTACTGCTCAACAGCTTTCATTTGAATGGTCACACACTAGGGTTTCATCCATAGACTCAAAGTTAGAACCACCTTGTACTGCATAATAGACAGTACCACATGAAAGTACTGCTCAATAGCTTTCATTTGAATGGTCACACACTAGGGTTTCATCCACAGACTTAAAAGTTAGAACCATCTTGTACAGCATAATAAACAGTACCACATCGAAGTACTGCTAAATAGCTTTCATTAGAATGGTCGCACATTAGGGTTTCATCTACAAACTTCAAAGTTAGAAAAATCTAGTGCCGGCAGCATAACAAACAGCATTGAAGTTCCGCTCAATATTCATTTGAATAAGACCTAGTCACAATAAAATAATGTTGGTCTGTCGGTATAAATGCATCTCGTAACCAACATAAGTTACTATAATTAACAACTTTTATCCACAGGCTTAAAAGTTAGAAAAACCTAGCGCCGGCAGCATAACAAACAGTATTGAAGCAGTCACAGTAAAATAATGTTGGTCTGTCTGTTTAAATGCATCTCGTAACCAACATAAGTTACTATAATTAACAACTTTAACATTGCTGCACTATAAATAGGAAGCTAAAAACGTTGCGGAGAGAAAATTACAAATAATAATAAATTTAACTATAATTTATTTTTCAAGTTAATAGCCTTTTTCAAGACTTCAGTAATTGGCGGTCAAACAGTTGCATAACGTTATCTTGGTGTAACGAAAAACGGGGTTTGTGTGCAGAATTTGGTTCGTTATTAGGATTGTTAAATGTGACCCATGCCATGAATTAATAGATATACTAGTTATAGATCGTTATACAACGTTTTCTCGTGGTATACCATGAGTTAGTAGCCACCCAGCTGTGTTCGACTGGAAATCCGCGAATCTGATTGGGTCTCTCATCGTTTTATATTCGCTGATAGACAACTATCGCACGCGCTGATCTTGAAACTGAAAATTATACTTAATTTTAGGCTTCAAAATACACAAAACTGAATAGAAGGTTTTGTGTTGTAATCTTTTGAGTGTCTACTAAAATATTTAGACCACTCGCCTTCGTTTTTTATATGGGATAGTCAACTCCGTTACGCTTCACTGGCTATTCGTTCATACGAAACGAGGGCTCGAAGTCTAATTGTTAAATATCCCACGAGTCACTAGTACATGTGACAAGTGTGATATTACATGCAATATCACGAAAACGTTTTACATAATTATTTTACACCATGCCTTAGAAAATACAGTGGCAACACAATTAACGCGACACGCACGATGTCGTGTATACAACGGCTGTATGTTCTGTACATGTGGCGTGGTATAAATATGGTATATATGTGCGTTTGTGTTATGTCATAGGATGAACTTTAATAGTCGCGTTAGGTAACCGCTGCATTTAAAGAGCCTTTTGAAGAAAAGGTTGTTAAATTGTCATGACAAAGCGCAAGACAATTATGGAAGCCAGGAAAGGTTAATTCTTATCTGTCATAGTTTTGAAACCGGCGGAAATATCTCTTACAAATCCAAAAATTTCTTTTAATACGGACACGGTCGTCTAAAATCTTCAATATTATGTTGAAATCCAGGGTGTTAATTCCAAGGATTGCCAATTCAAAGGGTTGTTATTTCCAATCATTTATCTCTATTTGTCTTAGCGGAATGAATATAAAGAGAATGGCCATTACAAGATTATTAAATGGTTAAAGTGTTTTTTTGTTTTTTTGAAGCTAAGCAGCGATACACATTTTTCGGGTTTTCCTTCGGCACGAAAACGGAAACTACACTATCAGAGCTAAATTATTGAAATTCGCGTCAAATAGTCAGGGCAGTTCTAAATCCGTAAATCAACCATTAAGAAAAACAAATAGTTCGCCTGAATAAATCATTTTGGTTCTTAACTCGTGGGCTGGGTTGTTCGAAAGCCGGTTAACGCTAACCCAAGCTTAAGTTAAGCGAAGTATTAACCTTTCTTGTATTTTTTTCTGTCTAGGTTGTTTAGTTTGAAATTATGAACACTCAAAACTGGAGTACAAACAATGTAAACAGAAAACCTCGCTGAGAAGTTATACAACTAAAATCGAAATTCTCGCTAATCCTGGGTTAGCTTCTCAAACCCGGCATGATTAAAAACTAAATAATTGGACTTGAAAACAGCATTTGCGGATTTTAAAAAATAACTTCGGATTTGATAACTATCAGTCTGGCCGCAGATTTGACAAATAGTTTGGACTTCGAAATTGCTGTGTTCCGATTTTTAAGTCAAAACAACACATGAGAAATATGACTTTTATCTAGAATTAAAACGAATTGAAATTACTACAGTTCTTGAACGTGTATTTTTGCTGTATTCAGCGAGCACAGAAAACGGACAAGCAAAAGACTTTCGAAAACAGCTGTCAGGTTTATAAGGAATTTTCCGAGAATTTATAAGAAATTTTCCGGCTTTTTTCTGAGATTTTTTCTTTTCCAGCGTTACGGTTGAAGCTTTCCGGCGAAAGGATTTGTCTAAGGGCCCTTGGTATGATATAGGTAATCCTAAGCTGCGGTTTCCGGTTTTTCTATCAAAAAGGATGTGAAAATGTGAGTGTGGATGCGAAGAAAAAGAAAAAGAATTTCTAGCAATAAGGACATTGCATTGTCTATAGCAATGGCGAGATGTCACAAGGGTTGAAAGACATCTAAATTCGGGAAATAAAAATAGATTTCTATCCCACTGGGCTCAGTACTATTTTTGTAAGGGAGCCATTTCAAGACGTAAATAACTTGTATACGATGCGCGTTATCTATGAGTAACTGTTCTCTGACAAAGAAAAGGAAATTCTAAACATGTTTTTCATGATAACTCTTTTACTAACTTCTTGTTGGGTTTAGCCACGAATCCTTGCATTACTGACCTTGCATTTAATCAAAGCATTTCCTTCCTATAAAAATTAAGGCTTTTTTGTACTTTGTTCGTTTTCAGCGTAATGCTATAATGTTTAAGCTCACTTTTTGCCAAAGCGAAGGTCAATGTTTAGTCTAAGCTTGCGGGAAGCCGGCATTGGAGAGCTTACAGTGTTTGAAAAAAAGTATTTAAGACATTTGCAGAGCAGTTTCAAAATTCTTTATCCGTTTCTTATCAGTCGAAAAGGTATCTTAAATCTTAAAGCGGATGAATCGTATCAGATCCTGGCAACATATGCTGGATTAGAAATGAAATGTTGGAATCAGCTACGTTCCAGTAAATGAACCCGCCTCTATCTTGCGCAATCCGATTAACAAGAAGTACCAAAAAAGATGTCTGGTTGTGTAGCAATTGCTGTTAATTTGATTACATTCCATCTTCGAGAACTTGACAAATCTTGAGTAGTTCTGATCCGTCTAGAATTGAAGTGGGTCGCCTTTTGACTTAAAAAAGATGGTTTACGTTTGATTCAGTTAAAAGTTCGTTCGATCTCTTATGACTTATCTGTGGAGGGCTTATTAATTGATTCTCCTCGAGTCACGAATGTAAACTCCCGCTAATTAAACATGAAAACCATTTAGCAAAACCAAGATTCGTACCTTTGCCGGCAAATTAACAAAACTGGTGATTAAAAAGCAACAAAGCTTTGTTCTCAGTCATAGTGCGTGCCCTTATTGACTTGACAATAGCTGTGTTTTCTATTTTATTTCCCGATGAAGGAGGAGTTAAGCGGTTACGGATTTTATCCCTGATCAAGACAACTTTACCAGCAGGAGACCAGAGATGTTAGAACGAGGCCTGAGGGCTACTATACATGACTTAGATGCGAAAACTACCTGATCACTTTTATGATGCGAAGAACGTTTGATCAATACTTTTGGTAAGTATCTTGTAAGTGAAGTGACTTTGAGGATTTCAGTAAAGAGCAGTTAGCGCTAGAAATGTTTCGTCTGCCGCAGTTTGTGGTGGACAGGTCGGCGGCTTTTGAACTAGCTGCTTAACGTTCTCCTTCTGTCTAGGTACCTTGTTTTATTGTTGTGCATTGTTCTTGAATTCTTATAACACGAACACAGTTCCTGTTTGCACACAACATGCCTAGACTGGCGTTGCTACGCAGCGTTCTGTGCGTACTCCAGAAATGTTGATGAATAATACGCCATTTATATTGTTTTCTTTTCCTTATTAGAGTGATCAGCAAGTCCGTGAATCCAAAAAACACTAGCAGTTACTGAACAGCCGTTTCTATAACAACGAACTAAGAAGCAAGAAGAATGAGTAAAACCCCGTCTTTGCAGTGTCCGCTGCTTCGCATTTCAAAGGTCTACTTTGCTCTCGTTATTGTCAATTGTGTTTGTGGATGTCTTATGGCTTGTGGTCCCGGGCCTGTACCTCGCCCGACTCGCAAGACTCCAATGAAGTTTAAACAGAGAATTCCTGATGTAGACGAAGTGTCGATCCAAGCAAGTGGAGATTACGTAGGGCCAGTGGAAAGAGGAAGCGAGGCTTACGAAGACTTGGAGAAAAACTATAATCCCGATATTGTGTTCAAAAAAACCGACAACAACGATGATAACCGGAGAATGACCAAGGTAACATCTGACCAAAATCTATTTTGTTCTTATAATATCTGTGCATTGACAAGTAAGCAAGTTATGAGAATAAAGAACTTCGTCAACCAAGTAGAATTGTTTTCACGTTACCCTGAATTTTTGCTGCTGACTTGTTAGAAACGCTTAGCTAACTTCGAACTTGCATGCATGGATAGACCAGATTCGTACGTTTTGTGAACACTAAGCTCCTGTATATTCTCATTACTAAAACATCATGAAATGAATGGCAATCTGTCGGGAGAATTTAATATTTCATGCTTAACATCGAATCACACCTAGCTAAAGCATTGTGTAGATTTGTTTTTGTGAAGCAGTGGTTATTCCTTTACAAGTTACATGCCCTGTCTTAGCGCCGTGTTTCCTGTTCGTGTTTTGCCGGTTCGGTTTGCTTAGCGAGGCGTGTCTTTGCTGTCAAGCTTGGTCTAAATCACAGCGTTTGTAAGGTTGTGTACGAGTCTAGAATATTGCATATTCGTCGAAGCATTGCCTCCCTTTTAACCAAAAACGCCAGCCATAGCGACGATGCCAAAAGTCCGCAGCCGAAACAAGCCGCAAGCTGCAAGTCCATAAGGCCAAAAAATCCCTGTTATATGAAGAACGTAAATAGGGGACAAGTCCCTTCGTGTGTACGCAAGGACGCATGTTGCAGGGTCAGTGTTGCGCACGAGACACTGAGATATTGCTTCATTTCTATGTTGTACCAGGAACAGTTTGCAAGAGCAGTGCACATGATGCGACATCGAAAACTGAGGTCATCTTGTCCCTGCTTCATGAAGCACGAATTCAACCCAGGAGAATTTCATGTAACATGTTGCAGGGACAAATTTTATTGGGAAAAAATAGAGAGAGCAATTCATTCGTTACGGGTTTGGTACACTAGTTGCATGAAGTTGAACTGAGTTTAATACACATTGGCAAAGTGACTTTGTGACTACCGTCTGGTTTCTCTCGGGTGACATTTCGCTTTTTTAATTTTACAGAACTGTAAGAAAAAACTCGACATCCTTGCTTCCCTCGTGAAGAAAAAATGGGGAGTAAGATTACGAGTTATTGAGGCTTACGACCTGGACAGAAGACCAAGACATCACCATGGAATCCATTCCTTGCACCACGAGGGACGCGCTGTGGACATTGCTACAGAAGATAGAGACAAGGATAAATATCCTTTCCTAGGCAGGCTGGCCATCAACGCTGGATTTGACTGGGTGTTATATGCAACCAAAGGCTACATCCACGCTTCTGTTAAAACGGCGGGTAATTTCCAATGATTAATCTTCGCAGAAATCAGTCTTAACGTTCTTTTCTTCGAATTCGTGATCATATAAGAGCTATGTCGCCTTTGTAACATTCTGTAACAAGGTTGACTCTGCAAAATTGACCTTTTCAGAAGAAGTTGTCTCCATCTTAAAAATTACACATTCTAGTTGGAAAATGTCTAGCTATTGGTCAGCAAGAAAAAGAAAGAGCTGCGTAAATGACTGATCAGGGAATGCTATTGAAATAGCACTGACTACACATCATTGCTTCTAACAAGTTTATAACTGAATACGCCAATAATATTGCGTCGGCGCACTCTAAAATCAGTTACTATTGCATTATTAGAATTTCTTTCCTTCTTCCGAGAAGGTTGGTTAGAGGCTGTGCAATTATTTGCAAATGGCCTTATGTGCCAAAGGGCCCAGGTGTCTCTAACCAACCTAACTATCTGTCTGTAGAAAACTCTAGAAAACGTATAAAATTTGAGAAATGAAGCTTCGTTGGAATTCTTTAAAAATATTTTTTCCTTGATCTTTTTCTAGAAAAAGACGCAGAGGAAGGTATGAGCTGCTTCCCTGAGGACGCTACTGTTCGCCTAGAAGGTGGGCGGACAAAAAAGATGAAAGAATTGCAAGTGGGAGACAAGGTGGCAGGAATGGATGTAACAGGGCGCATTATTTACAGTAGAGTAGTGACGTTTCTCGACATCAAGCCTAACAGTTCTAATACATTTATTACCATCCGAACAAAGACTCCGGCGGCCGAAGTGGCAATTACGGAATCTCATCTGATCTATCAACTAAACAAACAAGCGCAGCGGGAGACGGCCGTCTTCGCACGAGACCTGAAGGTTGGAGATTTTGTTTATGTTAGACACGGTACTGCTTTGGAGAAATTCACAGCTGGACGCGTGGTTGGCATTGAGTGGAGCCGAGGCAAGGGCGCGTATGCCCCGCTCACGGAAACTGGAAACATCGTAGTTAATAACGTCCTTTGCTCATGTTACGCTATAATTTCAGATCAGAGAGTGGCTCATTGGAGCTTTGCGCCACTGAGGTTTGCAGAATGGTTGTTCCCGGGCATTGCAGCCCATAATAGCTCGGGTGTGCATTGGTATGCACAAGCTCTGTATAAAATTTACACAAGTTGGAACTATGTCACTGAGGATAGATTATAAAACTTCCAGATGCTGCTCCAATGGTAGTTGCATACCCGTGTTCTTAATAAAGGCGGGCTCCATGGATTTGTTAGGACGACCGTATTGTACATGTGTCGCGTCAGTTTACAGAACTGCGATTAATTTTATACCTACTTCAAGTATAATTTACATGTTTGGCAGTACTTATATAAATGACAAAAACAGCGATCACTGATCAAAATGCTGTTGCATTTTCAAAGATGTACAAACCTCACTAGACAATGGGTAATGTCAAATCGACGATACAAGACTCGTTTAGCACAGAGCTCGTAAGAACGCCAGAATCAATTTCTTGGCTTTCAACTCAGGTATTAATTAAGAGATTTTATTGAATATGACTGATAAATACAATGTTAATTAGGCTAATTATGGTCTCTAACTGGCACCCTACGAGTGCCACTTATCACCTTGTTACGTTAGTGAACCACGCTAGTGCCGGGAACGCAGCGGGACGCTCGCGTGTGACATACACAAAGTGTGCCGTCATGAAAACATTCCAAGCCGTTATATTGGAGAATCTTTATATTCGCTCACAAACTCACACAAAAACCATTCCAGGCTTTTTTAACAGTCGGAGAAAAATCATTTAGAACAAGCAGAACCCAGAAATTAGCTATAGAGAAGGCGTAGGCTGCAATTAACGAACCATAAACTCTGCTGACATAGTTGGCTTTTGTTTAATGCTTTTCAGTTGCAAAGAACAATTAAGTAGAAATGCTTTTGTGCTACAGGTGAACTATTTGGGTAGCTGTCACAAAATTCATATGTCAAAATGTGGAGGGAAAAAATGGTTCTTTCAAGACCAAAAGACATCGTTTTTTCTTTTCAGTCAGAGTGATGGATGGCTTATCAAAATACAGAAGCTAAATTTAAAAAAAACGCATAACGATTAAAATGATTTATCAGTGAATGTTCTACAGAATGACATTTCAAGTACAAAATAACATATTTTCAGAAACCACACAAAGCTGCACAACCTTAAGGCGGTTTGTTAGATTAAACACCATTTCTGAGAAAAAAAGATTGTTAATAGAATTATTGATAATGAATCGGCGGTATTCGATTGAAGCAATCCGAGCGTGAGAAAAAATGCTTTGAAAGCTTAGTAGGATTAATCAGAATATCAAGCACAAATGTTAAATATGTTGTTCCTAGCGATATATTTCACGGTTTTGTTTTTTATCTCACCGCGAGGTAATGTCTTTGATCCTGATTGCATGTTTTGAAGTTCCAATATCAATGATAATCCTCCGACTATACCGGGCCGCGTTAAATAAACTTATTAAATGTAAGCAATTAGCAATAATATTCTCTGATATCGATCTGACACTGCTTAGATATAACCCATTTGCGGGAAATAACGTGGAAATTCCTGCTTAACCACAAATGTTTCAGAGATTTTATACGGCTACATTCCTTTCCGCGAAGCATAGAAATTCTTGGCATTTTATTTCACTCCCACATGTGGCATACAGCTGCAAAGCATTCAAAATTCAAGGAATTCAAAACCAAACCTATCGGCTCATAAATTCAGCAATAATCACGCATATTAAACTGCTTATTTTGATGGTCGTTCGGCAAAGTTTCGCGCGATAAGCCAGTTCAAAACAGGAACATGTTTTACCGGGTGGAACGCTCGGGAAAATTTATGCGCGGCTGGCAAGCGCGAGAAAACATACAACTGGCGCTAAGCGCGGGAAATTTGCAACCGGTGGTGAGTTAATGTTGTTCCTGATTGGCCAAGAAACAGATGTCCTTTCCGATTGGTTGGATTTTGGCTGTTCTTTCTTGAAAATCACCCATGTATGCCACACCCAACAAAGTGTTTTAGTGTCAGAGAATCTAGAACTTAAATATAGTTTCATAAACGAAGATTTAATAGCCTAAGAAACCCTTTCTTTTCGCTTCAGGCTTTGAGGAAATATGAAGCAAACCCTCGACTAAGTACTTGTGGAGAAAATATTTTCATTTTGAAACTATATTTTTCGGTAGGGTAACAGAAAATTGTTTCAGTTTTTTCCCGAAAATTCTGATCGTACTGTAAAGGATGGAAGTATTAATGGGGTATTATCTTCGCAGGAACAAGCGGAACCAAAATAAACGGTCTACCGGCGGAACTTATTAAGATGTTTTGCATAAATCCCATTTCGAATATCTCAACGGAAAAATGTGTTTTCTGATAAAAAAAAAAACCGCGTCATAAGGAATTTCATTGCAAGTTCCATCCAATTTGTTTGAAAGAGATAAATTACCAAGAACTTCCTCTGGATGACGAACGTTTCTTCGAGCTTAAAATATCTGACTGCAGTGACACAGATCCTAATATAATTAAAAATTTTTGCTCTTACCATAAGCGTAAGTGCAACGAAACACAACATGAAACTCGAAAACAGGTTTTTAGGAGGATTAGGGTGGTGGCAACCGGTTTACATCAATCTCGTGAACTGTAATTAATTACCTGGTTCAATTTTAATATGTCTTCCTTTAAACATGATTGAAAAATTTTATTCAATATTATATTGCTATGAATTAAGGATATTAAGTTTGTACAAAAGAATTTACAGTTTTAACTATTATACTGTTTAAAATTTTAATACAATTTGACTGTGAAAGGAACCTAACTGTTAGTCCAAGAGAATATAAGAAACAGTACTGGAATATGAGAAGTTCAGTGTTTTTTGTAAACAATCAAGAGAATACCGAGAGATAGATGATACATATATTTTAAATTCTAGTTTCTTGAAGGTATAGAGTTATCCAACGTCAATTATAATAACCTATCGTTTTCTTGATACCTAGCTTTGTACATACTATCTAGATACTATTTATTCCCATCTCTTCAGTACTGTATACTGTGTAATTTGTATAGTGATCAATAGTAGATTTCTTCCAACAAAATCAATACATTTTCAAGTAGACAGGCGATGAGAATAAAGATATTCATCAACTGGAACACATTATTTTCTCACATCTCTGACCTTAAAACCGTGAGAGCCTGGATAAGAAGTTAGATTTCTGGTTTCTTTCAACCAGGCAGTTACCAAAGGGTGTTTCTGTGATAATAATCGTTCTATCAGTGATCAATTTGTTTATTCTCAGAACCTGCATACTTCCTTTTGTATTGATATTGTAAGGAGATTTTGACGCTGATCAATGTCAGGCAGATTGTGTCGAAGGCGGATGGGATAGCTTTTGTTCAGCTGCCATATATATTGTTAATTGAAGAAGTTCATTTACGGCATTTTGAGTTATTTTGGTCGCGATCAAAATTGCGTAATTAAAGGAATCCTGAAAATGATAGCCTTCTAAGAGATAAAAATAAATCATAAAGGAACAAGGATGGTTAAAGGTGGAGAAGATTAACACGGACTTGAAAAATTTAAGCTAAACTTTTCAAGGTGGGCAAACCGTGAGGTAGCTTCTTTAAGTTTTGGAGATCTTTATGACAAGATTTATTAATGAGATTGCTTATAGCTTCTCAAAGAGTAAAGGTTGCGCTATTTTAAAGGATACCGCCATTTACTAACAGGCCTAATGGTTTAAAAAGCAGAAAGAAAAGAGAAAAAAAATAAAACTCCGTGGGAAAGGCGTTTAGAAATTTAGTTATTCTTTTGACAAGATTGACAAAATAGCGTGATTTTACTCGATCTCTAATGCAATTTTTACGCCCAAACCTAGTTTAAAATTACTTTGAATTTTTTTTAGAGCTGAGTAGCTTCTAATCTTAGCAGGAGGGAAGATTCGTGGCAAAGGTTCGAAGACAGTTTGTAGCTGATCTGGTAGAATTGCTGACCATCTGTGCAGATTAACTGGAGCTTAGTTCATGAGTATGTGTTTACACTGTGTTGTATTGTATTAAAGATGGCAAAAAAAAAAAAGGAATTACTACAGGAAAACTTTGATTTTAGATGATTTTGTACTATACTGAGAGAAGATTAAAATTTAGTTGATGATTAAACCTCTTATAAGAACCTAGATTTCTCCCGGTAAGTTCTAAGGAAATAATCAGTTTATAGCAATTACCCTGCTACAGACCCGTAATTGTTATATCGATCACTATGTTCGTCTAGGCGGGTTTCACTGAAGAAATATGAAAAAATACATTTTGCGTGTTCCTATCGAGTTTTAGTTGAATTCTATTAGTATACTAATGCAAACACTGGAATCTGATTGGCTGAGCTACTCGTATATTCTTGTCAACCATTAGCATAAATCTACTTGCGTTCTATCACAAATGCCGTTCTCTGATTGGTTACGCTACTTACTATTGATTCTGTTGTAGACAGTGAGTAGCTTTTGTTTTTTCGAGGTGTCTGGGAAGAGGATTTAGATCAAGTTTTGAACGTCTAGTAGGTTTATACTAAAACAATTAGATCATTCTCTCTCGATTGCTATGCGTGATAGAAATCTCGAGCTCATAATCTAATTGTTAATTAGAGTGCCGCAATTAATGCTGCAGTTTCTAGCTTCTCTAATGTTTCGAGGGAGATTAGGAAATATTTTTGGATAATCATTCTCAAGAACCGTAAAGAAAGGAAACTGAACGTTATGCGACTTTAAAACTTCACAAATTTTCAATGAACCCGACTGGCGCGCGGGTACAAAGGCAAGTTTCATATAACAATTCAATTCGCTCCATTACGCCATAGCATGAAAATCATTACTACAATGAAAATTATTGGAAATCGTTATTTGAAGGAAATTTAGCTAGAATTGTTCTAAAACATTTAGATTATACGCTCTCGATTTCGATGAGGTGATGGTTGAAATCTCGAGATCATAGTCTAACTGTTAAATATATACACGATTTTTAACCAAACAACGCGCGCACTTTCTTTGGGCTGTTTTCTAATCCACTATACCTAATAATAACAGGTAACTGGGTGTAACAAAAAGGAAGGTAGGGATTGATTGCCTGATTACAAAAATCTTCTTTTTCATTGATGAAAAAGTTGCTGAATTATGTTCAACCTTTTCAACTCGAACCATTTCATCAAGCAAACAAAAATGGTGTTTTTCTTGCTCTCCTGTGTAGTCCCACAAAATATCAATACCCATACGGAAGGGATGTTTTTTTAAGAATCTCCACCCCCCCCCCCTGCCCCCACGAAACTCCTTTGGAAATTCCATTAAGCTTCATACATTTTGCTTACAGAACCCCCACCCTATCCCTGGGAAATTTCAATCCCTTCTGTGTGGGGATGGCCAAAACCCAAACTCATTCGAATCTCAACAGCTACTAACTACTTACAGAACCCCAACCCTACCCCTAGGAAATTCCAATCCCTTATGTGTGGGGGTTGGACATGTTCTGGGACTACACGATATGACACGACCAAAACCCAAACCCCNAAAATGCAAAATGTTCCAAGATTTTTTTGCTTCCTTCAATTATTGTTTGCTCAAGTCTTGAATCATTATGTGCGAAACTTGAACAATACAAACATTACATGACCAAAATGAACGACCGATTTTCCGTAAGGAACCACTTAGCAGCAGTTGTTTTAATGACGTTTTAAAGTAGCTCAGTAACCGTATTTTGAGTTATTTTGGCCACGTACAAAATTATCTTTACATTGAAGGAAACCTGAAAATATACGTTTACTACGATAGAAAAACTCCAGAGATAATAACAAACCATAAAGGAACAAGGATGGTTAATAAAGGAAAGAGAAGATTAACACAGATTATAAACAACGAACGAAAGCTAATTTTTTTTAAGATGCGCAAACCGTGACGTAGCTCCGTAATTTCAGGAATCAGCAATTAGCTCTTATTTAACATTCATTAAATAAATTGAAAATCTCCCAAAGGAATTTTCACAAGCTGAGAAAATGTGATGTTTTGCCTACAATACTTGTATTTCAAAAAATATAGCTACACCCCGCTACTAGGCTTCTAAATCCGAGGAGAAACGTTCGTTTCTGCCACCACGAGATTATTTTGAGAGGACGAAGAAATGAACCTTGCACTATGTCTCTGCACTTGCGTAAGGATTGCATGATTGCATACTGTTGTACAAGGGTAAGATTACTGAAAACCGTTACAATATTGAATGTTATTCCGTGTATGACCTTATGGTGTTGGGGTTGAAAACAAGAGATAAAGTTCATAAGCTGATTGGTTCGTATACGAGAAAAGAATTATGCCAATGATAATCCTTTGCATCTGGATTGCGTGGAAAACATGACCCATGGCAGGGATATTTCTTTGTTTGTTTGGAACCGACCTGTATTTACATTGTGTATTGTTATTCATGACATGGTAATAAGTTATAGG